GCACGTCCCGCGGCACGTCCATTGGCACGTTCCGTAGCGCGTCCCCTCGGCACGTCCCGCGGTGCGTCCCCTATGGCACGTCCCCTGGCACGTCGCTTGGCGCGTCCCTTGGGACGTTCCGCGGCGCGTCCTCCTGGCATGTCCCCTTGCCAATTCGATCCCGGGCAGCTACGATGTGCCCAGGCAGCTCGAGCTTGAGAACCAGATCAGTTCGGTCAGGACTCGGATGCAAAGGAGGACGCTATAGAGCACAATCGCGGCTTGGCACATCGGCACGTCCCGCGGCACGTCCATTGGCACGTTCGGTAGCGCGTCCCCTTGGCACGTCCCGCGGTGCGTCCCCATGGCACGTCCCTTGGCACGTCGCCTTGCGCGTCCCTTGGGACGTTCCGTGGCGCGTCCTCCTGGCATGTCCCTTTGTGAATTAGATCTCGGGCAGCTACGATGTGCCCAGGCAGTTCGAGCTTAAGATCCAGATCAGTTCGGTCAGGACTCGGATGCAAAGGAGGACTCGGTCCACAACGCTATAGAGCACAATTGCGGCTTGGCACATCGCAATTCAGCACGGCGCACAACAGCACAGCCCTCGGCACAGTACATCAAGATCGATGCATTCAGCATTGGAGTTGCCCGTCGCCCAATCAGGTGTCTTTGAAGCGTTGCCATGCGTTACATATCTATATATCATTTTCTGGGTTCGTGGGTCGATCATCTTTCATTTGAAGTGCCTTTCCCGGGGCTCGCACCCTGTTCTTATTCGGGAAAGTCTTGGGTCTCAGAATAGGGCCCCTGGCCCCCAAGTTAGAACAGCAACGGCTCCCGCCTGATTCTTCCTCACAGTATATTCCACACTCGCGGGGCCTCTTCACAATGTGTAAAAAAATCGCGCTCTCGCGTGGGGCTTCCCGTAATTTATTCAGACGCCTCGCCCTCGACATTCAGGCATATCACGCTCTCGCTTTGGCCTATCTCACGATTTACTTGGGAATCGCGCTATCGCTCGAGGCTCGCGATTCATGCAGGACGCACGCTCCAGCAACCCGCCTGCTCGATCTGGCCTCCTGGGCCCGCCTCCCCGACCCGTCCGTTAGGGTCTACCCTCCCGATCTGCCCGTCTGGTTCTGCCACGTGTTTTTTGCTTCTAGCCCCCCTCCTGCTAAGTTCTCTCTCGTGATCCATCCTCCTCCCTTCCCCTTGTCCCTTTCTTCCATCCGTCCTCTCCTCCCCTGTCGTAGGGGCTCACGACAGACATACACGTTGCAGGTAAGAAAGATACACCCCAAGGGGGTACGATCGAAGACGAGTAGGGCGGGTATCGAGGGTTTGGCATATACGTACTGAGTGGCACGCGAGCAGAAAGAGCGAACAGTCTTAAGATGAGTGTTGTTGCTGCTGTTGTTGTTGTTGCTCTTGAACTTCCATTTCCCACGAACAATTATTGGTGATCCCCTTCCCTCCAGTAACCACTGCATTTTTCAATTCAAGTGTTCCTCCTGGGGCTCGCATTCTGGTTTTTACAAGGGGAGTGTCACCAAACTGTGGCCTTGCCCCCTGGTTTCCAAGAACAGCGGCTCCCGCATGATACTTCCTTACAGTGTATTCCAAAATCGCGCTCTCGCGCGGGACCTCCTCAGAACGAATACAGGAGTCGCGCTCTCGCGCCGGACCTCCTCGCAACTTACTCAGACGCCGCGCCCTTGACATTCAGGCATCCCGCTCTCGCTGTGGATTTCTAACGATTTACTTGGGAATCGCGCTTTCGCCCGAGACTTCCTTGTAATTCATGCAGGACGCACACTCCAGCAACCCAACCCGCCTGCTCGATCTGGCCGCCTTGGCCTGCCTTCCGACCTGCCCGTTAGGGTCTACCCGCCCGATCTGCCCGTCTGGTTCTGCCTCGTGCTTTCTACTCCTAGCCCCCCTCCTGCTACGCTTTCTCGTCTTCCATCCTCCTCCCTCCCCCTTGTCCCTCCCTTTTCCATCAGCTCTTTCTTCGTCTGCCTCAGGGGCTGCAAGAAATACACGCTGCAGGTTAGAAAGTCATGTACTCTCAAGGGGGTACGATTGAAGACGTAGAGGGCGGGTACCGAATGTTTTGGATATGCATGCTGGATGGTACGCGAGCAGGTAAGAGCGAACAGTCTCAAATTGAGTGTTGTTGATGGTGGTGTTGTTGAATTCTCTTTTCTACAACATGATTGTTGTTGATCCCCCTTGCCTGGTAACCATTGCACGTTCAAATTAAAGTGCTTCCTCTGGGGCTCGCACTCTGGCTCTCACGAATGAAGGTGAGGTGCCACAAACAAATTGTGCCACTGGCTCCTGGTTTACAACAACAGCGGCTCCCGCCTGATTTTTCCTCACAGTGTATAACAGCATCGCGCTCCGCGCGGGACCTCACGATGTATACAGGAAGCGCGCTCTCACGTGGGACTTCCTTACAATTTATCCGTAAGGGCTTCGCCCCCTGCCGGCGGCCCCCTGTCTACCATAATGTGATCTGACAGAGTCGCGTCGGTGCGTTTCGGCGTTGCCTTGGCGCACCTGGGAACAGCATGCGGGAGCGGATAGGAATCATCAGCGCATATTGAAACGTTGACGTGATCGAAGACGCCTACGGCGCATCACCGCCGCCCCCTGCCTTTTTGGAAGCGCCTGCGTGGCCGAAAGTTGGGTTTGAGCTTGGCCACGCTATCGGGCCACGCGTTCCCCGAGTGGGTTTCGAAAGCCTTCGGGGAACACGGAGTCGGGCGAGCTATCGGACCAGGTAGTTTTCGAGCTTCCGGGCCTCCTGGAGGACGTCTTGGAGGGCTCTTGGGCCGTCTTGGAGGCCTTTGGCGGGCCTTTTGGGCAGTCGAAGGCCATCTTCAGGCCATCTGGGGCAGTCTTGGGTGCATTTTGGGGTCATCTTCGCTGTCTTGGAGGCCTTCTTGGCCGTCTTGGAGGCATCTTGGACCCCATCTTGGGTGTCGTCGATGCCATCTTGGGCGTCTTGGAGGCCTCTTGGGCCGTCTTGGGGCCTTTTGGGGGCCCTCTTGGGGGCCTCTTGGGTTGTTATGGGGCCATCTTGAAGGCCTCTTGGGCGCTCTTGGGTCGATGTTGGGGCCTCCTGGGCCGTCTTGGGCCGTCGGAGAGCTGAAAAGACGAGAATGCCAACATCCTTGAACTTCAAACACCGAAGGGAAATCAATGATTGTGGTCCTTTCGGGTCTTCCTGGAGGCCTCCTTGAAGGGCTCTTGGGCCGTCTTGGGGGCCTCTTGGGGGCCTCTTGGGCCGTCTCAGGCCATCTTGAGGCCATCTTGGGCCGTCTTGGGTGCATCTTCGGGCCATCTTAGCCGTCTTGACGGCCATGTTGGGCGTCTTGGAGGCATCTTCGAGGCCATCTTGGCCGTCTTGGAGGCCATCTTGGGCGTCTTGGGGACCTCTTGGGCCGTCTTGGGGCCTTTTGGGGGCCTCGGAGGCCTCTTGGGCTGTCGTGGGGTCATTTTGGAGGCCTCTTGGGCGTCTTGGGCCGTCGGAAAACCGAGAAGAAGCGAATGCGAAAATCCTTCAAAAACCGAAGAAAAACAATGATTAGGGCCTCTTCGGGCCCTCCTGGAGGACCTCTTGGAGGCCTCTTGGGCCGTCTTGGAGGCCTCTGAGGGGTCTCTTGGGCAGTCTTGGACTCTCTTGGTCCGTATAGGGGACCGTCTTGGACCGTCTTGGGCGGACTTGGAGGCCATCTTGGACCGTCTTGAGTCTTGGAGGCAATATTGCAGCAATTTGGAGCGAAAAGTCGACGGGGTAGTGATCTTCCGGGTGGCCGGCCAGACGGGCCGAAGCCCCAGGGGGAGTTGCTTTGGAAAAAGAACCAAAACCAAAACCGAGAGGATTCAGCACGCCAGGCACCCCTGCGATGAATCGACAGGGGGCGGCGGATCCTAGTGGCCTTCGGCACATCCCGCCCACCGTGCATGGGTTGTAGGTCTGAGGCCTCTTGTATATGTGTTTGGGGGCCTCTTGGAGGCGGTTTGGACGGCTCTTGGGGGCCTCTTGGGGCCTCGTGGGGTATTTTTGGAGCTTCTTGGAGGCCTCTTGGGCGCGTCTTGGGCGTCTCTTGGAGCCTCTTGTAGCCCGCTCGCACGCGCCCGTCGTGGCCCCGTACGCATGCCCTTCGTAGCCACGCTGTCGCCCTTCGTGGCCCCCTCGCTGCCCTTTGTGGCCCCTTTCCTGCCCTCAGTGGCCCCACTGTCGCCCTTCGCGGCCCCGTATACGAATGCCCTTCGTGGCCCCCGCTCGCACGCGCCCGTCGTGGCCCCATACGCATGCCCTTCGTAGCCACGCTGTCGCCCTTCGTGACCCCCTCGCTGCCCTTCGTGGCCCCGGTGCTGCCCTCAGCGGCCCCGTCGCTGCCCCCTGTGGCCTCGGATTTGATGTCCTTCGTGGCCCACGCTAGTTTTTCTCACGATTTACTTGGGAATCGCGCTATCGCTCGAGACTCCCTCGCGATTCATGCAGGACCCACGCTTCAGCAACCCGCCTGCTCGACCTCGTCGCCTGGGCCCGCCTTCCCGACCTGCCCGCTATGGACTTGCCCACCCGATCTGCCCGTCTGGTTATACCACTTGTTTTCTGCTCCTTGCCCCCCTCCTGCTAATTTCTCTCGTGCTCCATTCTTCTCCCTCCCCCTTCCACCCGTCCTCTCTTCCCTGGTTTTAGGGGCTGCACTAAATACACGTGGCAGGTAAGGAAGATGTACCCCCAAGGGGGTACGATCGAAGACGACGAGGGCGGTTACCGAGGGTTTGGGGTATACTGTACGTGTTGAACGGCACGTGAGCAGGCACGAGCGAACAATATTAAAATGAGTGTTGTTGTTGTTGTTGTTGTTGTTGTTGTTGTTGTTGTTGTTGTTGTTGTTGTTGTTGTTGCTGTTGCTGTTGTTGTTGGACGGGGTGGGCAATTGCCGCACCAGTGGTGGTGAGCAGACCGTTCGCAAGTGGAATAAGATGAGAAGTAGGACGAGTTGGCAGGACCAGAAGTTCACCGAGCTCATCCAGAGCAGCTGCGCCACGACTACTGCCAACGTGTCCTCCGCAGGACCCAGCCTGGGCCCGCCAGAGGGTCGCTGGCAGAGCTGCCAAGGGATATCCGTTGGTTGTCATCCAAAAATGTCCGGGGGTGGGGGGGGGCGCGCCAGCCACGCTACACGCTGCCGCACACAGCTTCGCACGCAGGTTGCACACCCGCCACACGTCGGGGGAGGGCCTCATTATGTAACAGACGCTGTCACAATCCCAACGTCCAACTTACACATAGAATTATGTATGGCGGTGATCGGTGCGTGCCAGTGGAACACGCGGACAGGGGATACCCAGAATCAATCGAGAAACAGACCAACAGAACTCGGCTGTCCGTTTGAGACGTGCAGCGAGCACCTGGCTGGTTGGGGTCCGCGGAGGAGTTTACAGAGTCGGCACGGGATCAGGGAAAGTGTGGCAAGATGACAGGGCGGTGACCATGGATCTCAAGAGCGTGGTTGAATGTTGTGGTAGCTAAGAGACGTTGATTTCACTGGGAGTGAGGTGGTGTAAAAACAGAGGTGCGTCACACGAGGCATAGCTCGAAGCATCCGTTTGCTTGCCAGGAATGTGCAACTACCCCAGATAGAGCCACAGATGAGGTCCTGCGACGAGACGCTGGAGCCCACCGCGAGCGGCAAGCATTAGAAAAGTGCGTATGCCTCCCCGCCTCCCCTTCCTTTCTTATAGTGCAGTGCCATCGTGTTCCTGGATGCTGCTTACGTGCTTCCCATGTTCGTGTACAGTGATGCCTCGGCGCGATGTCCTTACAAGATGCTCTGCACACGCGAGGACGGCGCGGGGGGGCAGTCCAGGTCCACCCCCCCTTCCCCGTCCTGGTGTGCAGCGGTGAGCTTCTGGGTTGATTTGGCGTTTGCGAGACCCGAGCGTCCCCTCTCTGTCGTCGCGTCTGTCGTCGCGTCTGTGGCCACGCAGGGGTCATTTTCGATCCAGGGCGCGCATGTGGGCGATTCACGGCCAGCGAAAGGCCGCCCCCCATAGGTCGTCCTCTCTCTGCCCCTCCCTCCCGCGGGGGCCCTGGGGCCCTCAGGGCCTCACCAACCCCCAGGCAGTGGGAGCGCGTTCTGGTTTTGGCCACGGGTTACCACTCTGACGCTTCGACCTCCAGGGTCCCGTGGCGCCAGTAGTTCTCGAGTTGCAGGCCCCTGGCTCTGGTATGGACGCAGTTCTCGAGTCAGTAAAGCTCGTCCCGACCGCCCCTGCGTCCCTGCGTCTCGCACCGCCAGGGCTAGGCGGGAGCTCCCGCCCCGACTCTAGAGAGGCTCTGCCAGGGTTACTGCGCTGTGGGCCGCCTTGTTCCAAGGTTTGCTCTGGGCTCGGGCCGCGAGAATTCTGCGGGCACGGGCTCTCGCTTGGATCACGAGGGGGCATCGAGCTGCCGGTATTCTCGAATCGCGGACGCGTTCTGGATGCCCTGGCTTGCTGGGCGAGAAGGTATATTCCCATGACGGCTCGCGACGGACGCAGTTTGTTCGGCAATGAGCGGGTCCACGACCATGTCCCCCGTACGGCCGATTGGAGTCATAGAAGCAGACAGCTGGTCATAGCCAGATGTATCGCTCCCTTAGTTGATCTCGGGCTCCGCAGCGAAGGGTTAAGCTCTAAGCGGTAAGCGGTAAACGAGCGAGAGAGAGAGAGAGATAAAGAGAGAAAAAAGACATTGGTGCCAGCTTGTTTCCATTCACGATTGCGGCTTACCAGACCCAGGAAAGCATGACTTACGATATCGGCAGCAATGATGCCTCCCTTGACATCGAGGTTGGCGCTTCGGGCGTGAATGACGTCGGCGTATGGCTTCTGTCGTCAAGGTTGCCGCCCCCAGCGCCAGCGTTGATGCCATAGGCGCCCCCCCAATGCACTTCTTGCAAGCTGTCCAGGACATACACCTTAGGCGATGCTTAAGAAAACTTGAGTGTTCGGCCAGAGTGTCGATTATTCTTAACGTTTCAATGTAAATCTTAAGATTTGAATCGAAATGTTGGGTTTTTATTCAAGTTCTGAGACTTATGAATTTCTTAACCCATGATTTCTTAAGCATTTCGCAGGGTGAACTTCTTGCAAGCTGTCCAGGACATACTGTTGCTGGCACGGCCTGGCGCGCACATGACAGCCGCAGCGGGCGCATTCCGCTGGACGCGGGGGCGGTTGTTGCGGCCGCAGCCCGGGCGCGTACATCCGAGGGCGCAGCAGGCACTGCGTCTCGAGTGGATCTGCAGCGGCTTGCGCGCTCTAAACCCTGCGTGGGGGGGGAGGCGCGCGAGAACGGGCCCCTCTTTCCTTCTCCGTTCCCGTCTCCCTTCCGTTCCCCCCCCCCGATCCCGCCCTTCTCCCCCCCCCCCCCTCCCTCCCTCCCGCTCCCCCTCTGTCCCGTCTCCCTCCCCTATATCAAGTTATCCCCCTCTTCCCCCCCCCCCCCTTTCCTTGTCCACCGACTGCCCCCCCTTCCATCCCTCCCCCGACATCCGACGCCTTGGGAAAGAAGTATGGTGGCGTAAAAAAGGAGAGCAGAGGCTTATCGGCCCCTGTGCTTGGACCTTCCGTTTGACGGTCCTTGCCAAAGAGGTAGGTACGCGCCGCCACCACGAACATTCCGACGTCCGCGCACGGTTCCCCCCCCCCCAAACCGGCGCCATGGAGCGCATCGCGGTCCTCGCCAGGCAGGTCGTGTTTGCAGAGCGGGCTGCAAGCGCACAGGCCCGCATTCGCTTTGGTGTTTGCATTGGGTCCACTGGTATCTATCACGACGGCCAGGGTTATGGGGGTTACTCGCAGTGGTTGAGCAGCAGCTTGAAGACAACTTTGGGTGAGCGCAACGACACGAGATAAGAGCACTTACGAGGGACAAGTGGTAATTGTATCATCGGCTTCTTCATTAAAGGTGGTTTTTGTTCCCCAGAGCGTACAATTGGAACGCCAAAGGCCAGCAATTACAAACCTCAGCGATCGCACCCTAGAAAGTTGCCAGTCGTGCGGAATAGTTTGCTGGCCGTGGGTAGAGAAATCGTTGATCTCTGTTCGGTTTGCATACCATTGTGTAGAGCATGATTTGCCTTGCCGTGTCTAGGTGTGTGGCGCCTGTGTGCAAATCGTGTTTGAAATTCTTGGTTTGCTTGCACAGGTAAAAGGACAACACGCATGGATAGGTCCATAGTAGAGATCGCTCGTAGGATGTTGTTGGGCCTCGCTGCAGCCTGTGTCTCGCTTCTTGGGTTTACATGACCATGCTTGAGCCTAGCGGGGTTTGGCGGAGCTGCTAGAGCCGCTGCATGAGATGACGGAGGTAAAGAAGGAGGGGTGAAGAAGAGCAGGAGAAAGAGAATGGATAGAGGAGGAGATAGAGGAATGAGAGCAGGATGAAGAGCGGGAGGGAAGGCTAACTCCCACACGCGGCGAGCGGGCTCGGATACCGAGCGAGCTCAGAGGGTAACCCTTGGGGGTGACCTCCGCCCAACACGCGAGGCCACCCCGTGCAGCGCAGACGTCGCGAAGGAGATCGCCCCGACGGGGACTCGGGGGCGGGCGCTCGCGGGGAAGAGGCGACGCACAGGGCTGTCGCAACGGGAGAGGGCACGAGAGGCTCCCGTTGCGCACGCCGGACCCGGTTGCTTTCTCGCTCTCTTTCTCTCCTTGCTCTCCTCCTCCTCTTACTGCTCTGGCTCATCACCCTCATCGAGCATACCTGTGGGCGGGCAGGCGATAGCCCCCGCTGTTGCCGCCCGCTCCCCCCGGTCGCGTCACGCAGGCCACCCGCCCAGTTTCCCCCAGCATCCCACGCTCGGAACCAAATCTTGGGAGGCAAGCGGCAGCGACCGCGCTTGCTGGTGGCGCCACCCCCGCCAGTCTTGCTGGTGGTGCCGCTCGTTGTTGCTACTACCGGTGTTGTTTCGAAGTCCAGTGAGTGTTACACCGCACGGTCCCGAGCAAGGCTCCAGGGGATGGTTTTGCGCGGGTGTCTGGTTTGCGCCTCCGTCTTCTCCTCATCCCTCCCGCCCGCCGCATATGGGGAAAATGCATCATGGTGTTGTTACCCCCCTCTTTACGCTTCCACTCTGCTACAGCCACACAGCGATTGTATTTGACCGTGGCAACGGCTCTGCCTCGTTTACCTGCATCAGGGGTAGATTCGGCAGGATACATGTCAGCAAGCAAACAATCTGCGCGACACTTGCAACAGCCATCCTCCATGGCATGCCCAGACAGGCTAGCGAGCGTTGCGTGCTGGCCGCCATGGTGAGCCCACAAGACTTCGCTATCTGCGTCAATTGACGCCATGCTCGAACCCCTTGCACCTGCTCGGAAGGCGCATTTTTGTTCCGTGCGCTGCTTCGGCTTGGGAGCCCCGCGGGCTTGCATTCAACCGTCGTTTTTTTTCTGGGGGTTGGGGCCCCGCCCACAAACGAAACATTCGAAGGATTGCGCGCGTCTGCGTTCGGGGCGCCCCCGCGGGCCCCCGTGAGCGTGCATTGCACCGTTTCTCGCGTGGGCCCGGGCCCTGCCAGCAGACGACCCGTTCACAGCACTGCGCCCGCTTCCGCTCGGGGCACCCCCGCCGCAGAACGAGGCGGGAGCGCCGCGGAGCGCGCTGACGCTCGGTTCCCGCCGCCCTTCCCCTTGAGCCGCTTCGGCCCGAAGACCCCGCGAGCGGGCATGAAGCCGTCGGTTTTGGGGGGGGATCCGGGCCCCGCCATCAGACGATCTGCTCAACGGATCCGAAGGACCATTCCGGAGCTATTCGCAAGCAAGGTTGGCTCGGGCAGGCTGCTTCACGGGCAAGCCAGGCTCGGGCCGCCGTGGAACCCGCGGAGCTTGATTCACGGGCAGGGCGGGCCTGGGCCGCCTTGGGATCGGTTCCCACTCCAGAGTGAAGTCACTGGCAGGGCTGGCCAGGGCCACCCAGAGGCCCGCGAGTTTACCCCGGAGCTCAATCTCGGGCAGGCTTGGCCCGAGCCACCTCGGGACCTGCGAGTTCACCTTGGGGTTGCTTCACGGGCACGGCTTGCCCCAGATGGCTTCCCGAAGTTTCTGAGGAACATGTGAGGAGAAGCTTCGCCGTGGCCTCCCAGAATGGTCCGATGAGTTGTCCAGAAGCGTCTCAGCAACTCAGCACGGCTTTGAGGAGCTTCAGAGAAGTACTGGAGAAACCTCTTAGAAGCCTGTCCAGAAATTTGTGAGGAGCCGTTTCGAAGCCCCTGGAAATATATTGTCAAGTTGTTCGGAAGTCAGAGGCCTGCGAAAAAACACTTCAAATGTCCTTTATGAAGATCCGAAACATCTTTTCATAAGCATTTCGAACAGACTTTATGACTCTTGCGAGACGGCTCACGTGAGCCGATGAGAAGCCTCTCAGAAGCCTCCCAGAGCTTCCCAGGCGTTTCTGGGAAGCTTGTGGGAAGCCTCGGGCTGCAGACATTATGAGCATGTGAGAAGTGTTTCGGAAGCTTGTCATACGCCCGTGTCAAGCTGGTGAGAAGCTTTTCGAGGAGCTTCGGATAAACTTTCCAGATGTCTCTGAAAGGCCTGCCTTCCCGAAGCCCTTCGGAAATGCGTGACCAGCGCCCTGAAAACATTGTCCTGACGACTGTCTTCAGTTGATCATAAGCTTTTGAGGACGAGGATGGGGGTCGAGGATGGTGGGGAGCAGTGAGGAGAGAGGAGGAGGAATAGGCTGATGAGAATGAGGAGGAAGAGGGCGAGGAGGAGGAGGGGGAGGACGGGGAGGAGGAGAAGGGGGGCGAACAGACGAGCCAGATGCCCTTCGGAAGCCCCTGGGGATCTCATCGGATGTCCTTTGCAAGTTGTTTGGGGTCTTCGTGGGGCGCCCACAAGGAGTAATGACTGGGTCTTTGTGGGGGGACCAAGGAATTTGGATGCGGTTTTCGCGGTGGCCCTGGGGAGATCAGATGAGGATTTCGGCAAGGGGCCGAGGAGTTCGGATAAGGCTTTCGTGAGAAGCCCAAGTGGCATTGCGGCATTCTTCCTGAGGGCCTCTACAGGTTCTCGCAGGAAGTTACAGGGGCACTCTGAGATCACCTGTGCCGCTTGTGGCCCTCCGTGGCCATCTCAAGCGGCTTTCTGCACAGGATTGGATTCTAGTTTCGGGTGTGGGCCTGGGGGCTTGCTCAAAGAGACTAGCTGGGCAGTGCTGGCCCAAGACCGCCCTCGGCATGGCGCAAAGAGGCCCCCAGGGCAGCCGCAGGAGTGCTCTCTGCTGGCCCCCGGGGCCTCTCAGGCATGCGTGGTGTTTTCGTTTTTCTTTTTCCAGTGCTCCTCCTCCTCCTCCTCCTCCTCCTCCTCCTCCTCCTCCTCGGCTCTGTGGCCGGCATATGGCCCCGCCAGGGCACTGAAGGAGTCCTAAGAAATATCTTCAAAGCGGGCCCCCGTGGCCCCCAAGAGCACCCCGGGAGAGCCCCCCCAAGAGAGCGTCGAGATACCTCCAAATGGTCAGATTCGCGGCCGAACCAAACAGTGGTGTGTCACACATGCCGCAGCAGGATCTTAAGAGACTCCCAAGAGAGCCACGAAGAGGTTTCAAGCGACAACCTCGCTGGAACAAGATGAACGGAGAGACGTGCTCGCCCCGAGCCAGCCACCGCTTGTTCGACTTGAAGTGGGTTCGCGCGAGCGGAGAAGCCCTCGACATGGACTAAGTGATCGTGATTGGGGGCACTCGCTGGCCTCATTGAACATCCAGCCGGGGGCCACGAGGACGGCCGTGTCGGAAACTACACCGCGGAAGTATGGAGCAGTGGAAATCACACTGGTGCTTAGTAGGAGGTAGCCGGTCGATCGCGGTCTGCAGATACAGGTATTCGTTTGGTAAGCGGTGGGCACGAATCGGAAAGCCATCAGCAAACCACATGTGCGAAGCATGCATGCTGCATGCTCTCATTGATTGGAGTTGAGCACGTAGACGAGTACTAGATATCAGGTGGTAGGTAGCACCAGGCGGATCGTCAGCTTGACATAGAGTAAGGACAGCGGAGGAAATAGGAGTAAACAGCAGGGTGTGGATTTCACTATCCATTTAGGGTGCCATAATACACATACAATCATAAATACGCATTTGCATGCTTCAATAGCAAAGGAGGCGGAAGGGCAGGGTCACCCCTACTGACTGTAGAGAAGGCGAGGGAGTAGCATGAGACACCTACGTATGGTAGCTCATTTGACAAGCGCGCCAGCTCGATCCACGAGTTGACGTAACACTCTTTCGATGTACAGGGTGGCATACACGGTGCGCAGGGTGCCTGAGCGGTTTCTCGCCCTCCGCAATTCGTTGATTCATCGGCCCCAGTGAGCGGAATGCGTCTCGAGGCCCTTGTCACTAGTCAACAAGGGTTTTGTGGAGTGTCCCTCGAACCTCGACGGATTGGGTGGCACACGCCTAGTGCATGGACGCATTGGCATCTCTGGGAGCAGCACGCCAGTGGGAGGGACTGCCCTCCTCCAGGAGCCATTTTGGCTCGGCCCCCGTGGCTCTTGGCGCTGACCACTCCGTGGCCCCCGCCGCCCAATGGGCACCGCCTTGCTCCGGAGTTGACCCCCCTTCCCCGAAGGTCTCCGGGGCTGGCCGCCTCTAGTTGCAGAGATGGTGGATCCCAAGACGATGTTCCGGGACGATGGTTCCTTCAATTTCAAGCAGCGCGAGGATTGGGGATACGGTCACGGGTACACTTACATGGCAGGTTGGCTTGGAACGGACGAGGAGCGGGCCGAGAAGAAGCGCAAGAGGAAGCTCGGCACCGTAGACGTCACCGCTCCGCCGCTTCCTCTGGACATGCTGGTCGTAGAGACGGCGGAGAAGACTGCGAAATACGTGCATAAGTCGACGGACAAGGAGGTCTTCGAGCGCGTGGTCCTTGAGAAAAACAGGGGCAAGCCAGGGTGGTCTTTCATGGAAGAGGGCGGCGAAGGCCACGAGTACTACAAGTTCTGCCGGCACTGCTGCGAACGAGAGGTTGAGCCGCGCCCGCTCGCCCAGCATGCCAGAAAGGTCATGGAGGATCGCGACAAGAAGCTGACCAACGCACGCAATAACACGTTCGTGGCCAGCAGCGGGGAGCCACAGGAGAAGAAGGCGCTGAAGGAGCCTGTATTCAAGATTGGTGAGGTCGTGGAGATTGTTGGAGTCAAGAGCAAGCCAGATTATAACGGCAAGCTCGTTAAGGTCATCGACTACAAAGCAGATGTAGACCGGTACGAAGTTCAGTTTCAGGGCGGCAGATACGATACGGTTGTCGTGAAGTTGAGAGAAGACAATCTCATGTATTCGTCTCTGGTTGAGAGGGACGCCGAGAAAGACAAAGAGATGCCCGAGGGAGAGATCCCAAACGGCATCGCAGTGGAGATTCGTGGCTTGCAGAGCGAGGCGGCAAGATGGCTCAACGGGCAGAAAGCGACCGTGGTCCAGTGGGACAAGGAAGGCGAGAGGTACGAAGTACGCCTGAAGATAGACAACAGCATAAAGAAAGTGAAGCCGAGCAATTTGCGGATAGAGCTGCCAGAGGGTTGGGAGGAGCATTTCGATGAGCACTTGGGAAAGTTCTATTACCTCAACGTGAAGAGCCAGAAAGTGACATGGAAGCACCCAACAGTCACCAACCAGCGCTCGAAGTTCAACAAAGTTACCGAAAATTATCTGAAAGCTTTCGGCCACTGCCGCAGCGCGACTGCGCCATGCATCGAGGGATCCCTAGTCGCAGTCGGCATCGTCGACATCATCCTGATTTGTTTGTTTCTCTTCCTCCTGGCTGCCTAATGGGACGACCCAAAGTCAGTGAGCCCTATGTGAGCCCTGATGGCTCAGTTGGTCCAGCTGAGGCCATCCGAAGACAAGATATTGGCATGCTTCTGTTCTTGTAGAGCCTCCTGGAGTCCCCTCAGGGCGCTCTTGCAGTAATGTGTGGCACTCTTGCGAGCTGTTAGGTCCACGGGAGCCACCTGAAGCCATTCCCGGCAATGTTTCACAGGGCTCTCGCCTTGGAGCACGGGCCTCGTGTAAGCCTTAACGCTTCGCGTATCCCCACCAGCCGATCCATGAACGATGCTTAGGGGAGCTGCCCTTCTCGGGGGAGCGAGGCATCATGTGGATGGCCCCAGCAGCCTCACTGAACTAGGGGCATCTTGGATGCCTCCCGGAGTCGCTTGGGATGTGTTTTTCGGGGGGGCTCTCGGTAGCCTCTTAGCACATGTTCTGGGCCTCTTGAGGCGTCTTGGGAACACGTTTTGGAGCCTCTCGGGGGCCTCTTAGGGGCATCGTGGGGCCCTCTTGGGGTTCCCTTGGGAGCCGTGGAGGCCATCTTGGGACTTTCATGGAGGACGTCGATCAAAGAAGGAGGGTTCCTCAATTGACGCTGCCTCAAGCCCTTGAAGTCGCCTCTTGGGGGCTCTCTTGGCGCGCTCGTTGGAGCTCCTGGGGCCGTCTTGGAGCCATCGTGGATCCCTATTGGTACATTCTTGGCCTTGCTGGAGCAGTCTTGCGAACTCATAAGGCCATCGGCAGCGAACGGGCGACAAGGCATAGCAAAACATAGAGTTGCCTAAGGTGTCGGAAGTTGGCCTCTTGGGGGAGTCCTGGGGAGCCCCTATGGCCACTTGGACCCGTCGTGGAGCGGTCTTGAGTCTTGGGACCTCTTAGACTAAGGTGGAATCCATCTTGAGCGATCTTGCATCATCTTGAGCCAGCCACATTGGAGAGCATCTTGGGCTATCTGGGCCCTCTTGAAGCCATCGTGGGCAATCTTGGGCGCACTAGCGACCCGCGCCCCCCCCCTCTAGACTCAGAGGAAGGGCTAGGGGGAGGGGCCATGCTGCCCACAACCAACAAGCCGTATCGCTCATTCACACCCGCCCTCCCAACACATGAGCAGCACCCGAGCTCCAGAATGGCGACACCAGTCTTGCAGGCGCCCGCCAGGTGCGCGAAGCCCGCGAGGTGCCCCGCACGTGCCAGCTGCGCCACGCGCGCCAGGTGCGCCACATTGGGCAACGCGTCGACCCTCCCACCGCCCCTGTCCAAAACACGGTGCAGCGTGGCGGGGAGGGTCTGTTGCGCGCGGGTGTGCGCCCGCAGTCGCTGTGCCTCTGACTGGTGGGCCTGCGCACGGCAGGCAGCACGCCGCCCGCCCGCCCTCCCCGCCGTCCCTGACAAGAAGGGCTCGTCGTTTCCCCGCGGAAGTGGGCGGTGGGCCGGCACGCGTGGTGGAATCTGCTTGCCACCCCTCGTCCCTGACAGAGAGCGACGCAAAGTGATCGCGGGACGCCCGAACATGATTCAGGTCTTGCCGCGAAGAGTTTGTGGTGCTACTTTTTTCGACAGGGATGGCTGGGGGGTGTTAGCATTGTCCCTGGTTTGTCGCTGGTCGGTTGGGGGAGGGGGTGTTGATTGACAAGGGGCAGAGATGCACCCCTCCCCGAAGGGAAAGAGGGGGTCGGAAGAGGAAACGCCCTAAACCTCCTTCACCCTAAAGGGCAGGTGGGATTTACAAGGAGTCGTAGCCCTGGGAGTGCGCATCCAAAGTACAAACATACAACCCAGGTAACGTAGTCTTGGGAGCGCAGATCCATTGGAATGTACTAGAGACCGTGGCCATGGCAGATCCAGCATAGTATGCTAGGGGCCGTGCTCCTGGGAGCCCATACCCAACGTAATTTACTCGGTGATCGTGGTCCTGTGACCGCGGATCGAGCATCGTCGCTTTGGAAGCGCGAATTCAGCGCAATGTGCAACGCATCGTGGCCCTGGGTGTGTAGATTCAGAGTAAGTTGCCCAGGGTCGGTGCCTCGGGAGTACGGACCCAGCGTCAGTTACGAAGGATCGAAGCTTTGGGGAGCACGGATCTAGCGAAATGTACCCAGGGTCCTCTTCAGGGTCCTCTTCTGGCTGTAGGAGCGCGGACCCAGCGCAAGTTGCGAAGGGTCGGGGCATTGGAGCGCGGACCAGGCGAAACTTGTGGGGGACCGTGTCCCGAGGATCGTGGCGACACCGTCATTTGAAACGAATCTTGACCCCGGAAGCGTGGATCCGGTGCAATTTCCCAGGGATCGTAGGAGGCTAGGAATTGTTGCGACCCTCCCAGGGCGCGGTCCCAGGCGCCTTTTTGAGGCCGAGGGGGAGACTTGCAGAGGGGGTCGCATGTACAGTCTCTACGTTCCATCTCTCGCATAACCATACATAACAACAGCGAAGCCAATGCAGATTGACGAATCACAGGTTTGAGGCCTCACAAGGGAGCCGGCGGATGCCGAGGAGTTCAAGGATGTGGAGATCGACGAGAACCGAAAGCATTACGACGTCGACGACGAGGAGGAGATGGAAGGAGGATTCAACCTGATGGAGCTGGTGAAGAAGGTGGAAGAGCAGGAGGAGAAGCGCGAGGCTGCCGAGGAGGCTGGCGAGGACGACGTCGATAGCGACGACGGCATGCACCGAGTGTCGAAGAAGAAGCGAAAGAAAGGGGAGAAGGTCACGGCAGAGGTCCTTGAAGCGAGGGTCATAATGCTGATCCAGGAGACCATGGTCGCCCGCGAGACTCTCAACAAGGACTACTCGATGCTTGAAGGAAATTTCGTTGCGAGGGAGATGGACCCAGTGCTCGAGCAGTGGGACCAATACGATCTCTCAGTTGAGAACCCACCAGACAAGCTTCTGAGAGCCACATTCGAGGGCACGCTAGCCCTCATCCAGAAGGTGGTATCCCTCCTGCCCCAACTTAAACGCTCGGTGCTCCAGCTCCGAGAGACCCACAAGGTGTTGCAGAAGATCACAACCCTTACGAAGCCAGCGGAGTTGCTGGAGGCCAGCAAGTGGGTATCGAGCTTGCTGAAGACAATGTGAAGCGCGTCATGTGTTTCTCAGCTGGCTCGCACTACTCTGCCGCCTTCTGGCGAATAGGTGCTGGAAATCACCTGCGGAAAAAATGCAGTCCGCCGTCTGCTCTTTGTGATGTAGCCCTCCTCCGTCGTCCTCCCACTCCCACCTTCGCTATCCTGCCCTCGTACTCCTCCCCACCCCTAATCCTGCTCATCCTCGTTTCACTCCTGCCGCTCCCGGTCATCCCACTCTTGCGCGGGCGGGAGGAAGCTCCGGGTTGCCCTCAATATGCGTAACGAGATGCTGGTGAGCGGGAAGAGCGCCGACGGGACTCCGGAAGGCCGCGCCCCTGCGCCCCCCTCCGCGGCCTTCGCCAGCGGCCCAGCCCCTGCCGACTTCCGGCCAGCTCCATCACAGGCGATCCGATGCCGTCGCCTTTCAAATCCACCGACCCCTCGTCGGGTCACGGCCTCATTGGGACCTCAGGACTGCTCACTAGAATGGGGGGCCCGGGCTCATCGCGACGTGGGCAGGTGCGGCAATCCGCAGAAATAGCACGGGTGGTGACGGCGATAACGTTGCTACATGGCGGTGGCGGTGGTGACGGCGGCGGCGATGGTGATGTTGACAAGGGAGGCGATGGTAGAGGTGTCGACGAGCTGATAGCAGTGAGGGCCTTCATTGTTGCAATGGTGTTTACGGTGGCAGTGGTAGAAGCCACGGTGACAGTGGTAGTGGTGATGGTGGCAGTGGCAGCAGTAATAATAATTATAATTGCGGAACGTAGTGGCACCGCGAGCCGCTCGCGGGAACGACGGAGCATCGAGCGCGAGCCAGAACGGTTCGAGTCAAGACCCCCAGGGGGGGTGGTGGCCCAGAGGGTGGACGTGGCGGTGGTGGCGGCCGTGGCAGCGGAAGCGATGGTAGTGGGCACGGTGGTGGAAGTGCTCACGGTGGTGATGGTGGCTGGTTTTAGTGGCAGTGATGATGTTGATGATGATGATGATGATGATGAGGAGGAGGAGGAGGAGGAGGATGAGAAGGAGGATGAGGATGAGGATGATGATGAGGACGAGGATGAGAATGAGGATGATGATGAGGATGATGGTGATGCTGCTGCTGACGACGGCGACGACAGCGACGCAGACAATGATGATGGTGATGATGATAATGGTGATCATCACCATTATCATGATGCTGATGCTGATGCTGATGCTAATGTTGATGCTGATGTGGATTGTGATGGTGATGATGATGCTGTTGTTAATAAGTGTGATGATTGTGATGTTGATGAGGCTGATGATGATGGTGAAGATGATCATGATGGTGGGGCTCAACATTATGATGATGAAGAAGATGCTGATGATGAATAGGATGATGATGTTGATGTTGTTGTTGTTGATAATGATGATGATGATGATGTTGATGATGATGATGATGATGATGATGATGATGATGATGATGTGGTCGGTGGTGGTGGTGGTGGTGACGGCGAGGGTGGTGGTGGTGGTGGTGGTGGTGGTGGTGGTGGTGGTGGTGGTGGTGGTGGTGTGCGAACGCGTTCGCGACGGTTGCGGGTGTGCTGGTAACGGTCACGTTGATCAGGTCAGATGGGGCGGCAGCAGCGATACATACAGTAAGCGCATGTGGAGAAGGGGTGTTTGTCGTTGCGCGACCGTTGCGGGGCCCGCCGTCAGGCTTGGCGCCCAGCGTTGCTGCTGCATTTGCGGAGAAGATCGGGGTCCCCGTGGAGTTCGTTCCCTACAGTTCTGTGCCGGACATCTCGAAAGACGCTGAGGCCTCCTCAACATTTTTTCTTCCTCTTGCCGAAGGGATCTTGAAAGCGAGGAGTTGAGAGACATCACCCCCCAATTGGGGCTCGTCGTCGTCATTATCTTTCTCCCATCCGCGTGGTGGCAGCGGTGGCAGGCAGTGTACAGAAGCGCGGGAGGCCCCAGAAGGTCCTGAGGCGGCGTGGTCTGGCCTGGAGGCCTGTTTGGGCGTCCGCCCAAGCCTGTAGTTGAATCGCAGCGGCGGAGGGGTGCAAGGAGGGGATGGTGGGGGATTTCGCAGCGAATTTTGTGAATCCCATGCACCAGCTCGCTGTTGGGAACCGTCCCCATGCGTCCCTCGAGCACCCCCCCCCCCGGCGTGTCAAGGAGAGTCGGAGGGGGTGGCGGAGAGGGGAGAAGGAGGCGAAGAAGAAGAAGAAGAAGAAGGGAGAGGGGCGACAGGAGGGTCTTAGAGAGGGTCGGCTATAGCGCGCCCCGTCGCATGTGACACATTCCAGCAGACCTGGCTGGCGAGGTGTTTGTGTTGCCGGAGCCGTGAGGGAGTTCTCCACGGGTGAGCCCGCGTCTGGGCCGGGGACACCTGTTGAGCCCTGAGGACGGATCGACGTCCATCGAAGGCGTCGCGAGGGGGACACGCACACGTCTGCCGCCACAGCTCCCAACAGTCGGGGGTGGACAGAACCCCCATCCTGACACGTCGATTAGTGAATTGTCTGTTTTCGGTTCTCGAGAGGGCGCCGCGGCCGTCATTTTCCAGGCTTGCGCCCGCCAGGTTTGGGCCCGAGGTCGTTTTCACTAAACCACGTTTTACTAAAGGGGGTTCTGTCCATCCCCGAAACAGCTGCACGGATGGGGGGGCGGCTACCTTTTGTTCAGAACGTGGTTCTTCGCTGTGTCGCCGCGCACGTTCGTCCTCACCAGGGCCGGGCCTGAAAGGTGTTTATGGTGATTTCGCGGGCCGTTTTCGTTCCGACTTCGTTGTGCGGTAAGGGAGGATTCGAGACAAAAGCGAAGGAAAACGAACACAGCACGAAAACGGAAAACACCGTTCAGGTTCAGCCCTGTTCGTTCTCACAGCTCCCAGCAGATGGATCACAGGTAGTGTTCGATGTGGGGCTCCCGCCCCAGCGCTGCGCACATTCTTGGAGGCCTGGAAATTGGCACCAACACCAGCATAGGGGGTTGCCTCCACATGGGGAAGATGATCCTAGATTTCGGTGTTGGTGGTAATTGTTCGGTCACCTTGGAAGCCAGTCTATTAACACCATCACCGAGATTGGGATCGACTTCCCTCGGAGGAGGCACACCGCCGATCTTGGTGTTGGTGTCAACCTCTAGGTCTGCGACATTCGTTTTGAAAAACCTTCCGAGAGCTTCACGGACGGAGCACGGGGCGTTCACCACGTGGCTCTTGCCCGCGAGCCGCGCGCAGTTCGTTTGCAAAGGCTCCCGACCGCTGCACGGATGGAGGGCGCGGCTCTCGGCCTCTAGTTTCCCTGTGGCCCCTCCCTCGCCTCAGTCCTTTCTCCCTCCTCCCTCCCTCCGCCCTCCCTCCTCACTCCTCTTTCGCCTCCTCTTCCTCCTCGTCATCCTCCACCCCCTCCTCATGCATCCTCATCATCCATTCTCCTCCTTCATCGACCTCCTCATCCCTCATCCGCCCTCTTCCCTCCTACATTTCCCATCCTCCTCATTCTCTACGTCTTCCCCTCCCCAGTCACCCTCTCCGTACATCCTCCTGTTCCTCCATCCCCGTTCTGGCGAAGAGGAGTAACAGGAGGAGGAGGACGAGGACGAGGAGGAGGAGGACCAGTATAAACCCAAGAGTCATCAACGATGTTGGAATAAACCCGCAAAGCTCCTTCATCATAGGCCCCTACAACGGTTCATTTCCACTGAGGGAATTGCCTCGTTGGAAGACATTCGTTTGAACACCTTGAAGCATGCCACAACACTGTTCTCGGGACTCTCTCGCCTTAGCGCCACATTTTGAAAAGGAACCGCCCTCAATCCGTGAAGCTGTTGCAAACTGTTGAAACGGATATGCTCGGCACTAGGCGAGAGCCACATTGTGAAACCACCCGCCCTCAATCTGTGAATCTCTTGCAAACTGTTAAACGATTGTGCTTGGCGCTAAGCTGAGAGCCACAGGTTGAAAACCGCCCGCCCTCAATCCGTGAAACTCTTGCAACGTTTGAAACGAGTGTGCGCGGCGCTAAGGCGAGAGCCATATTTTGAAAACCACCCGCCCTCAACTTGTGAAGCTGTTGTCGACTTGTAAGCTTCAGGGCCATAAATGGTGAGGATGTCTCAGGCGAAACGTCCGGCCCATCCTAAAAACTGACCTCGGGGTGCGACAGGGAGAGGTTATTCGTAAGGAAAAGGAAAGGAGGAGGAGGAGGAGGAGGAGGAGGAGGAGGAGGAGGAGGAGGAGGAGGAGCCACTCCCCAGCAGGCGGACAAGTGGGACGTGGCGATGATCGGCGCCGACCCCTCCCGCGCCGAGCACGTGGACTTCACTGCGCCCTATTGCCAGATCGAGGCCCCCCCAGTTCCGCTGCACTTCTGGCCGCTGCCCCTGGCTGCCACGCTGAGACGCGCGCGGTCTGGTCAGACCACGGCAATCGGAAGCCGGCGTGCACCCTCACCGCCCCTTCCGACGGGGCTCCTCCGACGAAACAGCCCTTTCCAACAGCGCAGCTCAGACGGAGGGGGGGGGGCGCGCGCCAGCAGGAGCCTCCTGACTTGTTTCGCTGTTGTTGCGCTCCTCCTCATAGTTGTCCTCCTCCACCTCCTCATCAACATCATCATCAGCACCAACATCATCATCATCATCATCAGCATCATCATCACCACCGTCATCCTCATCACCATCATCATCATCATCAGCAGCAGCAGCAGCGTCATCACCATCCTCATCATCAGCATCAGCATCACCATCATCATCATCACCATCATCGTCAGCATCGTCATCATCATCACTATCACCACTACCTTCATCATCATCATCATCATCACCATCATCATCATCCTCATCCTCATCCTCATCCTCATCATCATCATCATCATCATCATCATCATCATCATCATCATCATCATCATCATCATCATCATCATCATCATCATCATCATCATCCGTAGCCATTTTGGCTCAAGCTGTTTCTCCTGTCTCTCGCAAGCGCCCACGCGCAGCGGTCAGCGGCGCGCGTTTGGGAGATGAGCAATGGCGACGGGGGGCTGCCCGCAGGCGCGATCGCGGGGCGGCCCACCAGGCGCGGCAGTGTGCTACGCAGGAGGGAGGAGGCCGAGGTAGGCGCCTCGGCGGCCCGCCGACGGGCGCTGTGGCACGGCGCCTCCTCGCGGCCGTGGCGGCAGTCGGCAAGGCGGCCAGCGGCGGCCCAGGTTCTTGGCAGGACCGTGAGGCTGCTGCGCGCCCCGCCTTGCGCTGTGCCGCCGCGGGATGCCGCGTCCCAGGCGCAATGCGGCGGCGGCGGCGGAACGCCGCGTGGCACGCGCTGCTGGTCCCTGCGGGCGGATTCGCGCGAGCGTCCGCAGCGGGCCTATCGCGGGCCGCCGCAGGCCCCCGCCTGGGCTGGCTGCCCTCGGCCACAGATGGAGGGCGGCGCGCGGCGGCAACGCGCCTCCACACCGTGAGCTTCGCGGACCAGGTCGTCGCCGTTGCGGCGGACGGCAGCGTCCAGACGGAACCCCTGGGTGGCAGGCCGCGCGAGCGGCCGCCCAAGGACCACCTCGGTCATTCGCGGCGGGTCTTGCGCCAGCGGCTCGAGGAGGCGCATCCGCCCGCGCTCCCGCCTGCTGCCGCCCTGTTGGACCCGCTGCCCGAGGTGCTCAAGGTGCGGATCGTCGGCATGTTATCCCTACCTGACAGGCTGCGGCTGTGCCAGGCCTCCTGTGGGATCGCTTGGGCCCTCGAGAGCAGCCCCTCTCGGCTCGCAGAGGCGCTGGAGTCGGATCTGCGGGACGCGGCGCTCCTGCAGCAGCTGGAGGGCGTCAGGCCGCACAGGGACGCGAATGCCGACGTGGACCTGGGCCTCGGTTTCGGCTCCGGCTACCAGCTGGCCGCCATGTTGACGGAGGAGTTGTACCATTCCGCGTCGAACTGCACCCAGTACAGGGCTCTGGCCGCGAAGCAGGACCAGGACATCCGCTCCCTACAGGAAGGCCGGGCTGCTGCGGAGCATGCGCTGCGGGACCAGCTCGCCACGCTCAGGGAGCAGCTTCAGGTGTACATCGCGAGGTGCACGGATGTGCCTGCGGTCATGGGCGAGCACAACGACGACACATTTGACGGTTCGCTCTCGTCTCTCGTGGTGGAGGATCGAGGCGATGATTGCGATTTCGCCGACGGGTTCGACGCCTTCGATGTCCTCCTCGAGGGGGCTGTGGGCCTCAGGGCCTTGCCTCCCTTGCCCGCTCTCACCGGCGGCCCACTCGGCTTCAGAGCTCCCACTTGGCTGTGGGGCGGCAGGGATCTCACCGACATGAGGCGCCTCGCCGGCGGGCTGAATTGGGCGGCTGCGACCCCCGTTCCCGAGGAGATCGAGGGCGATATGGTGACTGGTTCCCGAGGGCGCCGCGGCGCCTGGAGTCCACGTGGACGAGATCGAGTGGGACGACCTGCAGGCGATCATCCAGCAGCGCTGTACAGCGAGGGGAAGTCTCATAGTCCTCCGAGGCGCTGGCCCAGCTGCAGCGGGCGACACCTGCCACTGCAGGAACAAACGGCGACGAGTTCGGCGACCTCGGCGGCCGATCCGCCCCCTACGGCGACGACGGCATCGGGATAGGCTTCTTGTCTGCAGGCGAGCTCCTGGAGGCGGCGGTCGCCTCGCGGTTGGCCCTCGCAGCGGCCAGCCTCCTCCCTGGGGTCCCACTCGAGGCGCCCCAGGCCTTAGACGCTCAGATGTCCGATGCTACAATTTGCTCGCCAGTTGCTGCCGCTTTCTATTCATAATGCCCAGGGGGTTTCTCGCTGGCCCTGCTGCCAGCTCTGCTCGATGTAGTCTGGCACACTGCGGCTCGGAACCCATCGGTCCGTCGAGTGCGGTGTCGTTCGGGGGTGAAGGGGCCCTGTGGCGTAGGAGCAGCCCCTGGCGGGCTCCGCACACTCATGGGTTCCCTTCCCGCCGCCTCTGCTTGTGGCGCCAGGCGGGTCCGAGGATCACGAGTACCAGCGACGAGCGTGCTTGCCCTCGGTTGGGGGAGGGACCCCGTGGCGTAGGCTGTACCCTGCGGAGCTCGGCACACGTCAGGGTTCACTCTCTCCCGCCCCTCTTGGGTTCGCTGTGTATTTGTGTCGCTGCTTGTCCGCGCTTACGAGGCTGACAAGCGGAGGTTCGCAGCGCTAGCTGCGCACCAGCCCGCTCGATCGCACTGCTGTTCGCGCCGCTCGCGGAGGCAGAGCCGTGGGGGTAGGTGCTTGCTCCGACCCTCGGGATCGCCTCCGCACGCCTCGGCTGAGCAACGGTGTCCGCCCTGGGCCACGAGCCACAAGAGGACTATGTTGCTCTGCTGGCGCGTGCGTGCCGCCGTTGTGGGCTGAGTCGCCGTGACTGCTCGGATGCTGTGTCAACCGCTTGCTTCGGCCGAGGCTGTGGGCGGTCTCTTGGCACTCGGGTGAATCTGCGAGGGTGCCTTGGGCACGAAACCGAGCGTTGCCGCCGCAGGGCCAAAGGGAAACGCCTCGGTCCGAGGGGCAGTACGAGCTAGGAGCTCCTGACCTCTTCAGACGCGGGGGTCAGCATCATCATCATCATCATCATCATCATCACCATCACCATCATCATCATCATCATCAGCATCAGCATCAGCATCATCATTTGCATCATCATCACCATTATCATCACCATCAGCATCATCATCATCACCATCATCATCCTCCTCATCATCGTCATCATCATCCACCCCCTAATTTGGCTCAGCGCTGCTCTCTGATATGCGCAAAGTTACCGGGAGCTGGCATAGTCGACCTCGCCATCACATGGTTGACGCTCCGAGAGCGACGCACGGCTCAGCGGCGGCCTCTCCTCAATCTCCGCTTTCTTTTTCCCCATGACTATTCCTTAGAGCTCCTCCCTGTCGCGGCCACAGACGCGTGGGTAGGGTGGTCTGGGCGTTTCGTTCAGGACCTCCTGACCATGTCTTATTCCGAAGCCTGAAACTTACACTGAGGGGGGGCGGTTCTTGTCCAACCTTGGGCTGACGCGCACATCCGTCGTAAAAGCTTGCAGTAGTTACACGGCAGCAGGGGTGGTCCTTGTCAAAATGTGGTTTTCGCTTTGGCGCCGCGAGCACGTGTTTCAACAGCTCGTAATACCTACAAAAATAGAGGGGGCGTTACGTGTTCAAACGAGCGCGCCCTCAAAGCGTGAAGTAATTGCAATGATCGGGATTGGCTCCTTTTCAAAATGGGACTCTCGCATAGCGCCTCGCACGTTCGCACACTCGATTGAAACGGCTTCAACTACAGGGACGAAGGGCGTGTTGTTTTCAACTTGTGATTATCGCTTGTGACTGCATCGCATACAGTATGACCCGAAGCTTCAGAAGGTGTTACAGCTGCGCTGATGGGTGGCGGCTCATTTTCAAAATGGGGCCTTCCGTCTGAGACGTCAGAACATTAAGGCACGATGAATACACATGTGCAATCCTTACACGGATGGGGGTGGCCCCTTTCCAAACTGGGGTTTTCGGTGGACACCTCGTTGAACGTTGTGTACCTACAGTTGCGCATTCCTTTATCGAAGACGCATGCGGCGAATCACCGCAGCCCCCTGCCTTTTGGAATCGCCCATGTGGGCGGACGTCGTGGCAAGAGCTCTGCGAAGCTATCGGACCATATATTCCCACAGTCGTTGTGGAACCCCTTCGGGGATCACGTGGGGGAGAAAAAAGAAGTGGAGGAGAGGAATGGCAAAGAGGAGGAGCAGGAGGAGGAGGAGGAGGAAGATATGGATCAAGAGGAGGAGGAGGAGGAGGAGGAGGAGGAGGAGGAGGCTCTTGGGACACCCTGGGGGGCTCCTGTGAGCTTCCTGGGAGCCTCTTGGAGGCCACTTGGGAGCCCCCTTAGGCCTGTTGGGGACCTTCGGGGGGTTCTCGAAGGCCTCGTTGTCCGTCTCCAAGCGTTCCTGGCCCGTCTGACGCCGTCGGCAGCAGCCTTGAATGCCTCTCTGAACCAGCTTGGGGCCCTGTTGGGGCGCTTCAGGGCCGTCTTGGAGGCCATGTTGCGCATGTCGGAGACTTCGTGGGCCGCCTTGTGGCTTCTTGAGGCATGGAGGCTTCTTGGGCCATCATGGGGTCATCTTGGAGGCCTTTGAGGCCATCTGGGGGCGACCTTGGTGGCCTCTCGGGCCGACTGAAGGCCGAACAAAAGTAAATGCCAACATCCTTCAAACACCTTAGTTCTTCGGGTCCTCATGGAGGACCTCTTGGTTCCTACAATTGCGCATTCCTTACAACGAAGACGCCTACGGCGAATCACCGCCGCCCCCTGCCTTTTGGAATCGCCCATGTGGCCGAGCG